AATGGGCCCTGTGAGACATTCATGGCCTAAGATAGAGTGCCAGCAGGTGCTTCCTCTCAAGGGACAGACTCAGAGCTCACAACAAACCCAGCTTCCTCCTGAGAGTAGAACTATTAACTGGGCCCAGGATCCAGAATTGGATGGTGCTGCGGGCTCCTATTTGCATAATGTCCCTTTAAGCACTCTCCTCACCCAGGGAGTTGAGGAGGAGATAAAGGGACACCCAGAGAGCAGCACCAGCTTGAGGCCAGGAGATTTGGAAAGTGCCCACCATGGCCTGGACTCCTCTCCTCCTGCTCCCCCTCCTCACCCTCTGACCAGGTCTGTGGATGCTTCAGAGACCAGACTTTGGGAAGGGTCCTTCTGCCTTTACTCTTCATTCCTGACATGAGTCTGTTTTCATTTCAGGGTCCAGGTCTCAGGCTGTGCTGACTTAGGAGCCCTCACTGACTGTGTCCCTAGGAGGGACAGTCATTCTTACCTGTGGCTCCAGCACTGGAGATGTCACCAGTGGTCACTATGCATACTGGATCCAGCAGGAGTATGGCCGAGCCCCCACCACACTGATTTATGGTACAAACAGTAAACACTCCTGGACCCCTGCCCAGTTCTCAGGCTCCACCCTTGGGGGCAACGCTGCCCTCACCCTGTCGGGGGCCAAGCCTGAAGACAAGGCCATGGACCACTGCTGGCTGGTGTACAGTGGTGCTGGGCACAGTGGGAGAACCAGAGGGAAAACCAGGACGTAAACCTCCTCAGCACTTGTGATAAGGGGATTGCATGATCAGACATATCAGCTCTCAAGATACTAAATGTGGGCCATCCATTGAAAAGGGGAAGGCAGGATAGAAATTAATTCCTGAAGGTACTTGAGGCCTAAAGTAGAGGAAACATATGATTTTGGAGGAACTTGTTCTGGAAAAGGAGCACCCAATTATTTCATAATCCAGAAGGAATAGGAAGAACTGGGTCAGACCTAAAGGGCTGTGGTCAAACACCTTCCCATCAGAAAGGAACGCCTCCCGTGATCTACTTTGGTGGCTTCTTGTATATATCACTAAAGGGTATCTCACTGGCTTGTAAATAATGCAACATACATGGGTTATATAAAAGCAAAAGTATTGAATATCAGCTCTTGCTTGTGTGGCTCTGTGGATGGATGCTGGCCTGCAAACCAAAAGGTCACTGGTTCAATTCCAAGTCAGGGCACATGTCTGGGTTGCAGGCCAGGTCCCCAGAAGGGAGCCCACGAGAGGCAACCACACATTGATGTTTCCCTCTCTTCCTCCCTTCCCCTCTATTTAAAACTAAGTAAATAAATAAAATCTTTAGAAAAAGTATTAAATATCACCAAGGTCCCCCAAAAGTTGTCTATTCCAAACCTTTATTAATATCAATATACTATTACCATAATCTATCAATATAACTGTAGTTCTGAATTTGAATGCACACTTTCACTTTTATTCTCAATTTATCCAAAATCATGATCAAACATGGTGCTGAAATTTCACCATTTTAGATACTGTTCATGTCATATAAGAGTTATGCAACTTCTTGTTGGGGACCGCTCTGCCTGGTTTCAGGAGTCGTAACTGCCCCCCATGGCTAAGGATGAGTGAGCGACCTGCAGAATGGGAGCCACAGGAGACAAAGGCTTGTCTCTGGTAGCAAATGTTGCCTCAGTTTTCTCCCTTTGCCCCCTAAGCATGGTCAGGAGTCCATGATGGGTAAGTCTCCTCACAGCGGGGGGCAACCTAAGCCAGACTTGACACTTGGGAAGCCTCCATGGAAGGACTCAGGGGACTGCAACAAAAAGCGAGCAATAGACCCTTGCCCCCCCAGCTATGTGACATAGCCTGAGTCCCCGTGTCCTCTGGGAGAAGTGCCTCGTGGCTCTAATTCACTTAAGCCTGAAAACCTGATGGGAAGGGGTGCAGCTTCTTGCCTTGACAGAGTCAATCCCAGGAAAAAGTCTGGCATTTCAAAGAATTTCTAAAAATCCTGTGTAACCTGCTTTGCTAAGAGTGTTTTCACTCATATGTTAAGGGTCCGAGCAGGAAACCCTAAATTTTCTGCAAAACCCTTTCTTGACAGACTCTGACTCAGACTAAGTCCTCAGATTTCTTTGAAATGTTACCTACTGTTTGATCCTTGCCGCCCTGTATTCCTGTGTATTACAACCCAATAAAAGCCCCTGGAGGAAGTGACTTGAAGCCTTTTCCCTCTGAGAAACTGGCCAACTCTTCTCCTCAGGCAGATCATGTCTTGGTAGTGTTTACTTTTACCCGTGGCAGACAGGCAGAAGGAAACTCAACTATCACGTAATCCTTTAACATCTGGGAAGACAGCATTTCATGTAGCTCCATGGAAGTCATTAGTGACCTGAAAAAATTAATGGCTCAAGCCAGAATCACAGAGGGGATCTGCTCATTCTACTGCCCTGGGTGCCCACAGCAGAAAGACCCAACTGCAAACAGCAGAACCCTCCCAAGAGAGCTGAAGGCTTGGCATGAGCTGGAGGATGTGTCTTCTGGGACCAGCAGGGGGCGCTGGTGGACTGCACCTGAGAATAAGGGCTCTGGGTGAGGGAAGCTGGAAAAGGACTTTACTGGGTCTTGCACACTTGGGCAGGCAGTGTCCTCAGTGAGGTGTGACTGTCCTGCACCTGGTCCCCAGGAGCCACATGAGCACTCAGCTCTGACTCACACACTTGCTTCATATCTCGCCCTCCTCCTCTCATGTAGTCATTGTCAAGGCCTGATTCACAGGACAAAGTAGGTGGACAATCATACAACAAAAATTAATTTCCTTGAAAAAAATGTGCCCTACAGTTGTCCCTGGACATAGGGTAGGAGATACCTAGACAGGGACAGTCTCGATGTCAACAATTAGGACTCAGCTAGCAGAGCTCTGTCCCCACCATGGCCTGGATTCCCCTGTCACATCCTCACTCACTGCAGGAGGAGTTGGCTTCCATGGACCCTGAGGGATGTCGGGGGAGAGGCCCTGGCCCTGCCTTTTCCTGCTGCCATGGGGGCACAGCTGGTGGGTCGTCCCATTAATTCTGCCTCCTTCTAGTCCTGCTTCTGGTCTTGGATTACACAGTGCTGCCTCTACCAGAGAGAGAGAGAGTGTCGCCTAAATGAATGTTTTCCTTCTAGCAAATCAAAGGAGCTTAATGCAAAAGAATTATTGGAGAATTACCCAAAGTATCTCATGTGTTATTATAATTGATGTTTTCAGAAATGATTCCACATAGGAGCCAGAAGAACCCATGGCTCATCAAGACAGTTTCTCTTTGATCATAGGGAGGATTTGGGCTGAGGCTACAATATGTTCACTTCTCTGGGTGACCTTGGACCTGAAATTTGGGGAGAGCAGATGTGAAGAGGCCAGGTCAGCCTGCAGAGGGCGTCTCTCAGAGGTGAAAGCACAGCAGGCAGGAAGTGCTCCCTGAGTCAGGCTGTGTCCCTCAGCACCCACAGGGGGCGCTGCTACATCTCCTTCATATGTGGGATGGAGTCCTGGGTCCTGGGTGAGTCCCCCACCCAGCCTATCATTCCCTCCATCCCACACTGGCTCCTAATCCTTAAAGGCAGGGGAAGTCCTTAGTGTCAGGGGAAAGCCTGAGACAGTCTGTACCCATGGCAAACCTCAGGGTCACTTGCTGCTACACTTGCAAGTGTACTGATGAGGAAATTGGTAATAATTGCATTCTTCTTTTCCCCTCATCCTTTAACTTGTTTCTTACTAGTCTGTCCTTTCTCTTTCATTTCAATGGTGTAATGACCTATGGGACTGGTAGTAATCACACATTCAACTGTCTGTTTTTCTTGTGTCTTGACACTCTTCCCAATCTCAAAGTACAATGGGTGTACACTTAGACAGGGCATCTCTCCACACTATCACAGATACAGTCAAATAAGGGACAATAATTCGGTGTGAGCATCTTGTCTCCTGTGAGCTCAGGTCTCAACACCTATGAAAGGAAAGAAAAATGAGCATTCAAGTTCTCTTCCACACACAATTTACTTGGAATTTTAAAATGAACCCCAAACAGAATTTCACTTCACACCGATGCACCCACTGTGTGTCATCTTCCCAGAAGGCAGGAGACGCTCTGTCTCCAACTCGTCCCCTCACATCCCAGATCCCTGGTCCGCCCTCCCCTCCCTCTGCCCCACAGCCCAGTGCAAGGGAAACAGAGCTTTCAAATGTTCCATCATGTTCACACAAAAGCACAATGAACAGTTATTTTTATTTCTGACAATGAGACACGGTTTCCTACTTTGTGTGTCTGATGTTGTGAAGTATCTCAGGACTTCATGGTGATGCTATGACTTTTCTTACTCATGATCTCCAGTTAAAATGAAGCTGCTCCATGTATTGGATTTCTCACCACAGAGGAGAGTTGCCCTCCCTGCCTGGCGGTGCAGCCCTGTGTCCACTCTCAGGCTTGGTCGGCTCCTTCAGGGCGGCTGCTGGGTCAGGACTGAGACAGGGGAGACCCGATGTCTCCACCTCCCAGACATGAACTCTGTGGTTTCCCTGTGGACTCCCTGCAGGAGGAGAAAGTGCCTGCTACCTCCTTCCAATAAGACAAGAGTGGTTTTCCCTGAAGAAGAAAGAAATGTTCTAATCTAAGGAACAAGTGAGATTGGAGATGAACTAGATCACTGGGACCAGGAGGTAAACACAGTCATCTCTTGTGTAGGCCACAGCCGATTCACAAAGACATTTAGCACTAAGGCCACCAGGGGCAAGGGGGAACTGATATGGTGACAGAGGTGAACACTCTTGTTTCAGGGCCTTGGTTACCATGCAGTCATGGGTGTTGTGAGGTAGCACACCCCCCAGGGACATCCCCCCAGGGACATCAGGGTGACACTGGGGCAGGAGGACAGAGGAAGCTGATTTGCATGAAGCACATTCTCCTCCTAATGGGTCTGGGAGGCAAGAAAAGGCCCCAAGGACACCTCCTTGTACCTCAGGAGCCTGAGGAGACTCTGTCCTGTGAGTGTCCCCACCATGGCCTGGACGGTGCTCCTGCTTGGACTCCTCACTTACAGCTCAGGTCAGAGGAGGGGACTCTGCACTCTTGGGGGACACAACTAGGCAGGGTCTCAGGGGTGATCTTGATTCTTATGACAGCACCTGTGTCTTTTCTGTTGGTTTTAGGTGTGGATTCTCAGACTGTTGTCACCCAGGAGACCTCACTGTCCGTGTCTCTAGGAGGGACAGCCATACTCACCTGTGGCCTTAGCTCTGGGTCAGTCTCTAGGAGTCACTATCCTAAGTGGTTCCAGCAGACCCCAGGCCAGGCTCCCCACACACTCATCTACAGCACAAACAACCGCCCCTCTGGGGTCCCTGAGCGCTTCTCTGGATCCATCTCTGGGAACAAAGCCGCCCTCACCATCACGGGGGCCCAGCCTGAGGACGAGGGGGACTATTACTGTTGCCTATATTACAGCAGCCCTTATAGCTGCACAGTGCTGCAGAGTCACAGGAAGTGAGACTAAAACCTCCCTGGGCTACTCCTGCCAGGGAACCTCACCCCTGCTCTGCCTGAATCCAAGCCTAATGCAGGGCTCACACCTGGTGCCACGTCTGCAGACACAACCTGAGCCATCCGGCCTTTCCCTCATTCTCACTGAGACTCACCATCGCCACTAAGTCACCTGTCCCTGTCTCAGAGGCAGAGAGTCCTTCCCAGGTGACACATGTCCCAGCGGAGACACTGCAGGTGTGGACAGTGGTTGTTACCGACCATGTCCGGTTCTGAGTCCAGGGGAGAATCAGTGATGTTTCTTCTCTAAGTGATTTCCTTGGGGCTTTCAGATACAAGAGCACCATGCAGAAATGAATACTACTGGACATGCTAGCAATAAACCATCAAAAATTAACAAAAAAAACTTTGAAATTAACAATAAAATTATAATGGCATCAAAAGAAAGAAATACTTAAAGATAAAACTGAAAAACAAAATTGGCATAAAATGAGAATGACAAACTATCTTGAGATACATGAAGGAGAACTAAACAAATGAAGACATGTTTAGTTTAAGGTCAGACACTCAATGTCAATCATCTGCAAATGTATTTACATATTCGTGGCAAGAATTTGAGTGGCAATCACTTGTAACAAATGAACACGTAGGAAATCTCAGCAAAGAGGTAGAAACTGTAGGAAAATCATGGAGGACGTTAGAGCCCTGGGAACACACTGCTCCATGTCCACGTGACCTGCCTGCATCTGAGGGAGGAGAGGCATATGGAGTTGGTTTGAAGTTAGGAGACCAAATCAGGGTATCAAAGCAGAGCCCGTCCCTTCACTTTGAGTCTCCGAGCTCAAGGCTGCTGAGCACCCTGGGCCCCAGGGACCCAGTACAGGGCGGTGAGATGCCAGATGAGGACACAGGTGTGAGAGGAACTTCAGGCACAGAGTGGCCCAGACCTGTGGCTGGGAGCCTGCACCTTCAGGTGTGAAGTCATGGGGAAGAGGGTTCGTCCAAGGGACAATCTGGGGCCTGAGATCAGGAGGCCTCTCAATGGGACAGGAGAGGGTGGGGGGGGTCATCTACGTTTCCTGGCGAATCGCTGAGCCTGCTCCAGGGTAGTAAAGTGGGTCCAGGGATGAGTCAGTCTTGGGGACAGAGTCCACGGTGGTCAAGGCAGAACTGGGGACACAGAATCCAGTGTACCTGAGTCAGAAGGCATCACAGTGTGTAGAATGTGTCCCAGTACCAACAGTTCTGGGGAAAGTCCCTCAGGTCCTTGACTATTATGATAGTCGTCAACCCTCAAGGGCTCTGACTGAGTCTCTGGCACAAATGTGCCAAGTGGGACTCCTTGCCCATCACCTGGCTGAGGCCTAAGGAAGAGGCTGGTTCTCAGAGCCACTCCTGTGACAGCAGCCCCCACCTGTCCACGGAGCTGCCACCTGTGGGAAGCTGCCACCAGTGTCCCCCCTCATCTGCTGGGAGGGGAATGCCCCCACAGCTGCCTGCTCAGCTCGGCCTGGGGCTTCGTCTGCGGCAGAAGCTGCTGCCACTGTGTGTCAGGTTCATCTGGGGCAGCCCTTAGAGTGAAGGTTCCTCCTCCCTCCATGTCCTCCAGTCACTCACCACAGCCCAGCCCTGGGCAGGGGACCTGGGGGACAAAGGCCTATGTTCCTGTCAGGCATGGACACAGAGTGTCCTTGCCCTGAAGCTCAGGGGCTGAGGTGGGGATCCCGCTATGGTCCTGTCAGCCCTGAACTGTGACCCCAAAATCCGGTGTCTCCATCTGTATGTCCAGAACTTACCCACAGAACCTGCATCTGTGATCCTGGAGGGAAAATTCCTAAGATCCTCCTCTCAAATCAGAGTTCATTTCCAGAGCTGCCTGTGCCTGTCCTGGGGCAGTGTGACACACCCTTTGATGGACCAGGTGGGGCAGCCTGGTCTGTGGGGGGGTGGGTCAGGACCTCTGATGTGGGGGGAATTTCGTTTGCCCAAACCTGTGGTCCACCTGACTCTGACCCTTTACACCCTTTGCAGGACCCAGAGCCCAGTGGTCCATTTGCGCCACCCTGCGTCCCCATATTAGAGGTGGTTCCACAGAACAGGATCGTCTGTAGCAACAGAAAAAGCTGAAGTAGGACAGATATTTGAATAAAGGGCTGTGTGTGTTAGTGTGTCTGCAGGGCTGAAGCGATAGGGCAAACACCTGTCTCTCTCTCTTCATATATATACATAAAACCATATACACACACACAGACACATATATACATACACACATATGTAATCTCAAGAAAGTAATAAATGTACACACACACATATATACATATCTCAAGGAAGTAATTCTAAGGGACTGTTTCACATGACTGGAGATTCTGGGGGACCCCAAACCCTCCCTGTGTGCTGGCTGGTTGGAGGCCTGGGGAGGACGAGGACGTGTGTGGTTTGACTCTGAGAGCCGTCTGCTGGCAGAGCTCCGTCTTCCTGGGGAAGGTCTGTCTTGTCTGTATCAGCCCTTCCACTGACTGGATGAGGCCGTCTCACGTTATAGACGATAGTCTGCTTCCATCAGCCTAATGGCTGCTGGATTAACACACTTCAGACATGTTCACAGAAACTACTAGAATAAAGTGTGTTGTGGAAGCTGACAGAGCATTAACCTCCCCAGGCCCCTCCTTCTCCTCTGACTGTGGAATGGGACTGCGGGTGAGAGGCTGCTGGGCCTCAGCTCCGGGACTGAGGGGCAGGGATTCCGACTGCCTGCCCATGTCAGGGACTCCCCTTCCCCGACGTTACACATGAAGCAGCTGCAGCTGAAGCTCCCCGATACTCAGGCTCAGACAGACGCCCCTCCCTGCTCTGCCCCCTCCCTACAGTGTGGTCCCTGCCCTGTGCACACAGGTCCCTGCATCTGTCCCTGCTCATCCAGCCTCCCTCAGGGACTGGGGCCCAGGAAGAAAGCAGAGACCTCCCGCCCTGGAAGAGGCAGCGGCACTGGATGCAATGGTGTGATAGTGCTACATGGGCCCTTGTGATGCCTCATGAAACTCCGGGCCACTGAAGCAACCACATCCTGGGGTTGTTGGTGCTCTGTTAGTGTCCATGTCACCTGCGGCAGAAGCCCCTGAGGACAGCGGGAGGATGAAGCTGAACATACCGACCAGCACACCCCAAGGCCCTGTCTTCCCCTGAGCCCCAGCCCCAGGGGAACGCGAGTCCACCTCTGGGGCTCACACAGCCTCTCTCCCCTGAACAGGGCTAACGGGAGGGTCAGTTCTTATGCTTATTGTCACATTTGGAGGTTATTTTAACATTTTATTAAGTGAGGAGAAAGAGTTTGTAACTCATTGCTTATATCTTCCCACCCCCACCTCACACAGGGGTGGACAGGGCTTCTTTCCTTGTTTATATTCACAATGGAACTCCCACACTGAGGACTCTCTCCTTTCAGAAACCCCTCGGTCACTAAGCTCACTTCCCAGCCTTTCTGCTACTCCCAACATCTGTTTTTGATTCCTCCAGTGAACTAAACTGTGTGCAAAGTGAGCAATGACCCCCAGATCCTAGCTTCTCTGTTTTATATCGTTCAGGCTCCTGTTTCCAGGCTGTGCTGGGACACGCACCCACCATGCGGGGCCGGTTCTCGGGAACTGGCAGCACGGTACCAGCACCGTAGAGGTGGACAGTATGGCCCAGGGACAACAGCAGCCCTGGAGTAGGTGGCCTGGGAGACCTGTCTCAGAGCCACCATTTCAACCAAGATCAGCATTTCCAGTGCTTTACTATGGGTATTTGAACACAGTTTCCATCAGTATTTATCATCATTGAATTTTCAAACCTTATTGAGGTGACTTGTATATCCAATAACATACTTGTATTTAAGTTGTGTAAACTGTGTTAATAAAACCTATGCCAGCAATATAGATTTTTCCTACCTATTTCTGCATGTTTGCCCTTTTTACTCGTAGAGACAATATACAAACTATGCCATAGGACAAGAACCCGGCCAAATTTCGACCGTGAGTTTGATAAGTGACTCCCAGGAGGGATCCTTGCTCACAGTGTGGGGGAACGAGTGTCTCCGCAGGTGGGATAATGACAGACAAAGATGTACAGTGTCGCACACTAGGGGTGAGCAAGAGGGCTCTCCCCCACAACCTCCTCATACATAGAAGAGGCCCTTTCTCCTCAGTTCTGCTGGGGACCCACAGGGAAGGAGACCTCTAACACCCACTGAGGAAGGAACCTTGTGTCCTGCACAGAAGGGGACATGCCTGCCTTGGGCCGGTCACTGCTCTGGACATGATACTGGCCTAAGGGTTTACGTTAGAGAAACCATGTCATTTCTGAGCATGGACAGCCCAGTGAGGTGAGGAAAGGCTCACCCTGAGGTCTCTGAGGACATCACTGATGTGTCCTGGAATGATGGGGAGGCCACAGAAGGGGACAGTTGGCCTGGCCCTAAGGCAGGTTTTAGTGGCCAGGAAGTGGAAGTCTGAGGCTGTGTCTGAGATGTTCTGGTGACCACACATAATGGGAGTCTGGGCACTAGAGGGCGCTCGGGTGTTGTTCCTGAGAGAACTGGGGTGATCTGAGCTGGGAGCAGCCTCCTAGCAATGCCTAGAGACCTGTGCTCAGTTGTGGCTTTAGAGATGTGACTTCCCTAATGCACAGGTCTCACAGAGCCCCACCCCTGCAGACACCCATGGCATCTTCAAGCCAAGACACCTTGTTTGGGCCCAGAGAGGAATCAAATAGCTGAGAAGGTGGGGTGGGGGGACATTTGCATAAATGGGTCCTCCTCTCTCAGAGTACAAAGGGAGGGGAGAGGTTTTGGGAAAACCTGCTTCAGCTGTGGGGCTACAGAAGGCAGGACCCAGGGATGGTCTCCACCATGGTCTGGTCCCCTCTCCTGCTCACCCTCTTGTCTCACTGCACAGGTGACTGCACATGGGGACAGAAGATGGACCCTGGAGAATCTCACGCTGTATTTTCTTCTTTGTCTCTAGACCCATAATTACCATCTGCATGTGTCTTTGTGTTGCAGGATCCTGGGCCCAGTCTGTGGTCACTCAGCCACCCTCAGTGTCTGGGAACCCAGGAGAGAGGGTCACCATCTCCTGCCTTGGAAGCAGCTCCAACATTGGGCGTAATTATGTGAACTGGTACCAACAGCTCCCAGAAAAGCCCCCCAAACTCCTCATCTATAGTAATAGCAATCGATACTCAGGGGTCCCTGATCGATTCTCTGGCTCCAAGTCTGGCAGCTCAGCCACCCTGACCATCACTGGGCTCCAGGCTGAGGATGAGGCTACTTATTTCTGTGGAGCATGGGACAGCAGTGCCAGTGGTCTCACAGTGCTGCAGGCCTGTGGGGAAGTGAGACAAGAACCCCTGTGGCATCTGTGAGCTGGGTGAACACTGCAGCAGCTGCTGCTCAGGCTCAGCCTGTGCCTTGTGACTTCTGCTTCTTCTCTGGCTGCTGTACTGACCCAGGTTCCCCCAGGGACACTGTCTGGGATTGAAGGCTGCTCTGTCCTTTTTGTCCTCAGAGTCACTCACAACAGCCCTTTCCCAGACTAAGTATCCTAAACAAAACTGAAAGTTCATTTTCCCACAAGGTGGAGACAGTTTACTTCCAAACTGGTTTGTATTCAGTTTTTATTGTGATGTTCAAATAAATAAAACATTGTGTTGGGCCCCTGAACCTACCATGGGACCTGAGCACTGTGTGTGCTGTGTGTGCTGTGTGTGAAGGATGAGTCAGCCTGGTCTGCATCTCGTGTTACAATGTTCTTCAGTGTAATCACTGCTGACTGCTGTATCGTCTTCTGAGTCTCAGTGTAAAATATGTCCATGTACAAGTGTATAAATGTATAAAAGTATTGGTAGTGTGAAGAGGTAACAGATGAAGGAGGTGGCCCACGTGTTCAAAGGGAGGCAAAAGGGGCCAACTTTCAGGTGGGAAATGAATGGTTCTGGGGACATCATGGACAGCATAGGATGAGCACAGAGATGCTATGATCATGCAACCTATGAACTGCAGCTAAATGTGCAGACCCCAGACATTTGCAACACAAGAAATGATAATAAATTTCTATCTATGTATAATGTCAGATGTCAACTAGACTCACTTTTATGGGAATTTTTTGCAATATGTATCCATATAGAACAATAATGTTGTACCCTTAAAACTAATGTAACATTGTATGTCAATTATACCTCAATAAAAATATAAAGTATAATGATAAAAATAAATTCAAATCTTCTTTCCACAGAAAAACGTGCGTGGAATGTTCAGAGCTGCTTTGTTAACAGTCTCCCCAACCTGACAACAACCATCAGGCCGTGTGTGGGTGTGTTTCACAGCTGTGTGCAGACTCACCCAAGTGGGAGCAGCGGTGATGTTCTCCAACAAGCGGCCTCTTTTTTAAAGACCATGTGATTCAGATTATGTTTCTAATGATGTCACAATTTGGAAGAGGCAACACTCTAGGGAGAGTATCTGTTGTAAATGTGACTGCATGAAAAAAAAAAGGAGGAACAACAAAATTATTCTATATAACAGTGTAATGGCACCTAAATGGCACTGTGACCTTGTCAAATGCTTTGAAAACTGAGAAGCACAATGACAGACCTTAACGTGTGCACATTAAATGCAGCTTAGGAGGTTGAGGGTCCCGTGGTGGGATGCGGAAGTGACAGGAGCCCATCAGTTTGCACTGTGAAGGCAGGAGCCACTGCCCTGACCGAAGTACCTGTGACAGTGAGGGCGCCTGCCACACTAACAGCAAAGGAAATGCACATGAAACTGTGCTCCAGGTGACAAAGTGGATTCCCAGGGGGTCCAGGTAAGAGTGCAGGTGTGGCTGTGCTGTGCACTGTCATAGTGGGTGAGCACCCGTGGGAGCCAGACTACTGCTTCGGGAATGGAAATCGGGATTTATCACCAGGGGCAGGAGGCGTGATGCTCCAGGCAGTGACAGAGCTTCAACTTTCAGATACAAGAATGAACTCAGGAGTGGATTCATGGGCATGGACAATTGCGTATGGAAATATTTACAAATGTGTGTGTTCCTGCACTAGTTCACTCTAAATATTGTATTGTTTTGTGTCTTGAGTGGAATTGCATAAGATGGTGTCCAGTGTGATGAGTCTGCCTTTTCCCAGATATTGGCTTCTAGAACATTCTAAAAAATAATGATGGCTTCTTTGGAGAAATGACTTTAGAGAGAGAAAGTGGAAGGGGGTTGGGAGGGAGACAGTGAGAGAGACACACACAGATGTGGATGCTGTTGTTCCACTTGTTTCCACATTCATTGGTTGCCTCTTGCATGTGCCCTGACCAAAGGTAGAGCCTTCAATGTTTCCTCATCGAGACGTGTTCTAACCAACTGAGCTGCTTGGCCAGGGCCTGATTTATGCTATAACTGCAAATTTGTACCTTTGAACTTCTTCTCTCATTTCTGTCCCACCCTACCTCAGCCTCTGGAAACCACTGATTTGTTCTCTGTATCTTTTGTTTATTAGGGTTGTTTTGTTGGTCAGATTACACATGTAAGTGAGATCATGGTATCTGTCTTGCTGTTTGACTTATTTACATGGCACAATGTCATCAAGTTTTATTCATGTTGTGTCAAATGACAAGATTCCATTTCTCTCAAAAGCGCTTTTGTACATTGATTTAACATTATGTATTATGTATGACATGATCTTTAGCCATTGACCCATCAACAGATTTTTAGGTGATTTCCATATGTTGGCTATTTATAATAATGCTGTCCTGGACCTGGGGTTGCACCTGTCTTCTAGGGATGTTTTAGTTTTCTTCAGATAAACACCCACAAGTTGAATTCAGGATCATAAAGTCTTTCGAGTTTTAGGAATGAAGCCCAAGGGACCATGCGCAACCTGCTGAGCTGCAGAGACCAGCAGGGCCCTTAGGGCTTCAGGCCTTGGTGAGGAGTGTGTGCTGTGACCAGCAGGAGGCGCTGTGGGACTGTCCTGTTGTCCCTACACAGCTGCTCAGCTAGGACCCTTTACTCAGTGGAGCCTGGGACTGGGGGAGGGGCTGGAACTCACTGACTGTTACTCTGCAGGTGGGTCCTCTCTGGCCTGGCAGATCCTCTGAGCAAAGACCTTTGTGTTCTCTCAGCAGGTGCTTCCTCCCCAGGCTTTTTCTTTCTTGAATTATATTTTTTCCATTACCATTCATTCTCTCTTAATCACCTCCCCCCACCCCAGCCATCACCCTACTGTTGTCCATGTGCATGAGTCCTTTTCCCTTTTTGTCTCAGTCCCTCCACCCTCTGACCCTCCCCCTTAGCTGTCACCTTGGTCTGTATCTAAGAGTTTGTCTCTATGTTCCTTGTTAGTTCAGTTTGTTCCTTGGATTCCACATGGAGTGAAATCATATGGTATTTGTGTTTCTCTAACTGGCTTATTTCACACAGCATCAAATTTTCTCAGGTCCATCCATACTGTTGTAAAGGGTAAAGTTTTCTTTACTTTTATGGCAGAGCAGTATTCCATTGTGAAAATGTCCCATAGTTGTTTTATCCACTCATCTACTGATGGACACTTAGGCTGCTTCCATATCTTGTAGACTATAAATAATGCGACCATGAACATAGGGCTGCTAATGTTCTATCAAAGTAGTGTTTGAGGTAAATTCAGATGCTCTGTAAGGCAGTGCTACCCTGAATGTACCTGATCTTCTCTGATGGATGTTATTTTTAAAGGGGTGAAGCCAACCTCCATCCTCCCTTGTCTGGGATGGGAGCTTAGCTCCAGCACCAGGGCTCAGGGAGGGGCTGGGCAGTCCCTGGATGGACACACATTTGCATGGACGGCCCCTCCCCTGGCAGAGGGTGGGGAATAAAAGGAGGCCTGGGGAGTCCATCCCCACTGTGGGCTCAGGGGCTGTGTGCACCATGGCCTGGACTCCTCTCCTCCTCGTGTTCCTCTCTCACTGCGCAGGTTGGGACAGGCGCGGAGACCCTGCTCATCCTTTGTATTTCTCATTTCTTGCTCAGAATTACGTAGAATGGTACAGTTTCTTGACCAAGTATTCTGAGTATGTCTTTGTTTGCAGGTTCCCTCTCCCAGCCTGTGCTGACTCAGCCGCCCTCTGTCTCTGCGTCTCCTGGAGCCACAGCCAGACTCACCTGCACCCTCAGCAGTGGCTTCAGTGTTGGTGGCTACTACATAAAATGGTTCCAGCAGAAGCCAGGCAGCCCTCCCCGGTATCTGCTGGAGTATAAATCAGACTCAGAGAAGCACCAGGCCTCTGGGGTCCCCAGCCGCTTCTCTGGATCCAAAGACACCTCCGCCAATGCAGGGCTCCTGACCATCTCTGACCTGCAGCCTGAGGACGAGGCCGACTATTACTGTAACATATGGTACAGTAACACTCCTCACAGTGACTCACACAGATGGGGAAGTGGGACAAAAACCTTGTACTGCCCAGGGTGACAGTGGGTGAAGGTGGGTGGACGTTAGTGTGGGTATCGAGAGACAAATGAACATAGAGAAAACATAATAAGAAATGAACAATTAGAAAAAAACCTCAGCCTTCTCAGAGTCTTGTTCAGGATGATTTAATCCTTTAAAGGTGAATTGCATGTACACAGACTGTGTTTGGAAGCATGGCTGGTGCACAGTGTGTCCACTAGTCTGACCCCCACACCACAGACTGTGCTCCAGGGATCGGGGCAGAGACATCCCCATCCCTCCAGGTCTGGTACACTCAGGTGGGCCCAGGAGAACTGCCTCTCAGGGACCAGGGCCTCAGATAGAAGATGCCAGTTGAGATCGCAGGCCTGGGGAGAACGGAAAAGGAGAGAATCTCCCAATAGATGGGAAGTCATAAAAAGAAACCAGATGAAAATGTAGAACCAAAAATGCAATAGATGTAATTTAAACAGAAAGCTCTATGGAGGGAGCAGGAATAAGGAATGCTTATTTCTTACTGTATTTATTTGTGTGTTACAAGTTTACAGATTGATGGTGGAAATCATTCACATCTTCATCATTATTCTGAAGACAATGTCAGCAGGGGGCGCTGTGGGTCTTCTCAGAGCTACAATGGCTGAATCAAAGTCTAATGGTTGTGATTAAATGGGCCTTGGGCTGATGCTCATGGCCCGAGTTTGAGGTGACAGCAGGTGCTTCCTCCAAAGTAAGAGACTCACAGCTCAGAATGACCCCAGCCTTCTCCTGAAGGTGAAAGCTACAAAGTGGGCCCAGGACCCAGGATCAGATGGCCCTGTGAGCTCATTTTGGATATGGCAACACCGGAAACACCCTTCACCAGGGGAGCTGAGGGGAAGATAAAAGGACACCCAGAGACCAGTGCCCGATGCAGGCCAGGGCATTTGGAAGGTGCCCACCGTGGCCTGGGATCCTCTCCTCCTGCTCCCCCTCCTCACCCTCTGTCCAGGTCCATGGACTCTTCAGGGCCCAGCCTTTGGAGGCATCCATCCCTCTGCTTTTACTCTTCATCAATGACATGTGATTCTACGTATTTCAGGGTCCGATTGTCAGGCTGTGAGTCTCAGGAGCCCTCACTGACTGTGTCCCCAGGAGGGACAGTCACTCTCACCTGTGGCTCTAGCACTGGAGCATTTTCCAGCAGTCACTATTCATACCAGTTCCAGCAGAAGTCGGGCCAAGCACCCAGGAACTTCACTAATTTATGATACAAACAAGAAGCAATTCTGGACACCCTGACCCCTGCCTTTGACCTCTGGGACCCTCCTCATCAATACAACTACCCTGACCCTCTTGGGGGCTTATCTGAGGGACAAGGGTGGAGTTGTACTGCCTATTACTCTGTGGTAGTGACCAACACAGTTACAGTGTCAGAAGAGGTACCGAGGCACCATCTGCCCTTCAAAAAGCCTGAGCACAGACATAGTTACCTGATGTGAAATCACATGTCCCGACATCTGAACTAGCAGGGCAGCCACAGACAGTGGGGGAGTTACTGACACGGCCTCCAGTGACTTCATTTGTCCCACTGCTTCTCCTGAAGGTGCTGCTCCTGGTTTGCAAAGTGTCTTCCAGGCACTTGTTGAAAACGGGAGTTTGTTCTTTGACGTATCTGGTTTTCCACGTTCAGCTGATGGTCAGCGTGTCTCCATCTTTCCCTGTTCAGATTAATGTGGGGACAGGGGTAATGAGGAACCTGCACCTCACAGGGACGGTGTCCTGCAGAGACCATGCCATGAATTCCTTTCTCTTTGTTGCAAGCAACATGTACTCAAGAAACTTAAAAAATATATTAGAAATATACTGATTTTTGCCCAGCAGAAAATTAATGACATTGTTGAAATACTAGATTGGTGCCAAGAGGATGGCACTGCAGGTTGGGGAACAGCATTGTAAGGTAGGGAACAGCATGCCCCGTTTTGGGAGCTGGAGGAAACCCGGTGTCGTTGAAGCAAAGGAAGGTGAGTGGCGGAGGCAGGAGGAGGGGAGCCGGCAGAGGGAGGCAGAGAGAAGTCACGCCTGTACTGGAGCATGGACACAAAATGCGGAAGCCCCGAAACGCAGCTGCTTAGTGGAGGTAATGCGAACGCCCAGCCAATACCGTGTCCCTATTTTATTGGACACAGTGTAGACTCTCAGCCCCGCCATAGCAAGGGGAGTGGGGACGACTGCAATTAGGAAGGTCAGAGAGGGCATCTCAGGGGCTAAAGATCTAAGCGTGTGGACAAGCTGGGATGCTGCCTTTGGGATGAATGCCAACTCAGTCACACACATGTTACCATCATCATCATCATTATTATCTAACTTTAATTTGTGAAAATGAGAATGCTCTCTTTTTAAATCTTGTTAACACAGATCATTTGTGTTTTGTAAGTCACGACTGATGTGATTCATAAATAAAATTAACAATAAGGAAAAGTTCCAAAACATACAAAATAGACAATAAAACAAGAATCCCCTGAATCTATTAATTAATTTTAATAATTATTCAGTTTATGAGTGACCTTGACTTTGGTCCCCTCTCCTATGCATAGAGGGTAGATTATGAATTAAAAGAAATTTATAGCCCTGGCTGGTGTAGCTCAGTGGATTGAGCATGGGCCTGTGAACCATATAATCGCGGTTCGATTCTCAGTCAGGGCACATGCCAGGGTTGCAGGCCGGTTCCCTGCAGGCCAGTTCCCAGCAGGGGACATATGGAAGGCAAATATACATTGATGTTTCTCTCCCTCTCTCCTTCCCTTCTTTTCTAAAGATAAATAAATAAAATATTTAAAAAATTAAAAAATATTTAAAAAAATTTATAATGGCTTACCATTTATGTAGTTATTTTTGGTTCATAATTAATTTAAATGCACTTAAAGGAAGAGGGAGGGGAGAAGTGTCACAGATTACAGTGAGTTTATCTTTACCGTAACTAATCTCTGACCTTGTGGGCAGCAGAGGGAAGGAAAGACAGGAAAACATCAAAGCGTGACCCTGAAATGGTGACCCAGACGCCTCGGTCTGGGGACAAGGACTCTACAACCCTGGAGGCAGGGCCTGTGACCACGACTGGGTAATGAGAACAGGCAACAGTTAAGAACATTAAAAAAAAAATCAGAGTCTCTTTTTTAAAATCAAGCACAGAGACTGAGAGTGGAATACAAGGTAAGGTGGGCTCCTGTCCGCTCTGAGTCTTTCTGGAAGCCACCACCTGGCCTGGCTGGTCTGCCGTCTTCCGTTTTAGCAGCACGCCCGACCCTCCCAGCAAAGGGCTGAACCTCATACTTGAAGGGGTGCTCCTTCCGCGTGGTGCCCCCAGATCCTCAGCTCCCCCAGGGACATCTTTGGAGGCGATGTAGAACCTGTTGGGGGCGTACTTGGCAACGAGCACCTGATGGATGGGCTTCCTCCAGATGTGAGTGTGTTCTGAGTGTGTCACACTCCAGATGTGAGTGTGTCATCAATCACTTTGATGATTTTTATATCTTAGTTATTGTAATAATGTTGCCATGAGTATGGGGTTTGCAGGTATGTTTTCAAAATAGTGTTTTTCTTTTCTGCAGATACATACCCAGAGTTGGAAAAACTGGATCATGAGGTTGTTCTATTTTGAAAATTAGACCACGGATGTGTGAATAGAGACAGAGACCTAGGGAGCCACAGAAACCAGCAGGACTCTCAGGGCTTTGCACCATGGGGAGGAATGTGCTCTGTAACCAGCAGGGGGCGCTGTGGGACTTCCCTGGGGTCCCCACACAGCTGCTCAATGAAGACCATTCAGGCAAAGGAGCTGGGTGGGGGTGGGGCACAGTCACAGGGAGACCCGCCCTGTGCTCCCTGATGGTAACTCAGCAGCTATGTCTTTTATGGCCTGTCAGAGTCCTCTGAACAAAGATGGTTGAGTTTTCTCAGCAGGTGTTTCGTCTAAGGGCTCTTTCACGGGGTGAAATCAATCTTCATTCTCCTCACTCTGGGGTGTGAGCTGAGCTCCAGCACCAGGGCTCAGGGAGGGGCTGGGCAGCCTCTGGGTGGACACACATTTGCATGGACTGCCCCTCCCCTGGCAGAGGGTGGGCAGAAAAGAGGCCTGGGCAGCCCAGCCCCACTGTGGGCTCAGGGGCTGTGTGCACCATGGCCTGGACCCCTCTGCTCCTCGTGTTCCTCTCTCACTGCACAGGTAGGGACAGGCCTTGGTATCAGGCCTCTGTTCCTATTTATTCTCTTCATACTCCATCTGCTAAGAAATCTCCCCTGATTTTTATCTCATCACTGAAAAGTATGTACTTCCCAGGTTCCCTCTCATACCCTGTGCTGACTCAGCTGCCCTCCCTCTCTGCATCTCCTGGAGCTACAGCCAGACTCACCTGCACCATGAGCAGTGGCTTCAGTGTTGACAACTACTACACAAACTGGTACTAACAGAAACCAGGGAGCCCTCTCCAATATCTACTGCAGTTTAAATCAGACTCAAGCAAGCACCAGGGCTCTGGGGTCCCCAGCCGCATCTCTGGATCCAAAGACACTTTGGCCAACACAGGGCTCCTGCTCATCTCTGGGCTGCAGCCTCAGGACGAGGCCGACTATTACTGTGGGATCTGGTACAGTGGTGCTCCTCACAGTGATTCATACAGATGGGGAAGTAGGGCAAAACCCTCCCATGGTTTGTTTTATGACAATAGAACATATTCAAATAACTTGTAAATAGTTAAAATGTACTTGAGTGTACCATTTAATCCATTATGAGTTATTCTCACTTTTTTCTCCTATGTTTCTAAAGTCTCAGGAAGCAGAAACCAAACCAAAACAAAACATTAATGACACAGCAGTGCTGCCATGTGCACTACAACCAGAGCCTGTGGAACTTCCCTCTTTCCCTTGGGATAAGGTAACGGCCCTTCCTGCCTTTCCCCTTGGTCCGAGCCCAGGACCATCCCAGCAGGGGGACAGTTGCTCACTGCACAGACTGTGTGCTGTTAGGGCTCAGAGCAGAGACTGTCCCATTCCCATCCCTGCCCCTGAGCACCGGGCAGGCCAAGAAGTGCCATGTCTCCGCCTGGAAACTCAGAGGTGAGTGAAGACTCAGGCCCAGGAGGAATCCAGAGGTAGAGCTACCCTGTTAACCTTGTAGGGGCCCTGAGTCTTAGTTGTGAAGTTGGGGGTAGAAGACGACAGTTCCCTGAGGAAATTCCTCACATGGGGAAATAGGGGGTCTTAGGCCTACATATCTCTTCGGGTCACAAGGTGGTGGGGGAGGCTCCACAGCAGCTGTGGAAACTCTCTTCCTGCTGGAAGGCTCGTGGGGGAAGTGGGTGCATGGAAGAGAGGCTCTCACAGCTGCCACCACTCAGGATCATGGGGTCATTGTGAGTGGGTTTCCTGAGCCCACAGGCTCTGACTGTGTCCCCTCTCCTCTCAGATGTAGTTGGAAATGTCCATCACTCCAGGGTGTGGGCCAGTCTATGGGCCAGCAGAAGTAGGACATCCCTGAGGTGTTCCTGAGTCACTGCCCCTGGAAAGCTCTTGATCGGCCCAGGTAACCATCCCTTCTTCTGCAAAGGGAGTAGTGAACTTTCTGGTCCTCAGGGCTCCAGGGCAAGTCTCTGACCTCGTAACCTAGGGCAGAGGTCACTGACCCTCAGGGGTTCAGCCTCTTCTCTGGCTCCTTCTTGGTGCTCAAGACCTCCCTGCCCACCTCCGGGTTCCATCTTAATCTGGAGTCTGATTATCACTGTCACAGGACTCAGTACAACCTAAAGCCACCAAAGGCTCCCATTACCTGGGGAAGGGAGGGGAACATCTGCCCAGCTCTCCCCAGTGACCCATCACTGCCCTGTCCCTGAGTGTGATGAACACCAGCTCAAGTTTCACTTCTGCTGCCACTTGTACTAGAGATTAGGAGACCTCCTGTTCTTACCTGGGTCTCTCTTTATGGTGTCAAAAAAAACCCTGTCTTTCTGTTTTTCCTGACACAAACAGAATTACCATGTGACCAGCTTCAAAAACACTCCTCAGAGAGGCTTGTTAGAATGACAAGGGAGCAGAAGTGCAGCTGCTGTGACCTGTTTCCCCAGAACCTGCTGCTCCCAGGAAAGCGCCTAAAGACCATGGGATGGTGGGAGACAGTGGGTTCGCTGTCAGTGCTGCACTTGTGGTAAAGTCAGTGTAACAGTCGAAATGGGATTCGGCCAGCTTCCAGTATTTTTTTTCCCAAATACATGATCTGTATTAAAATCAAGAAATAATTTTCTTCAAAAGATAAAAATGCAGTTTATTTTCCACTCACAATGATACTAACATTGAATGAGAAACCACACCTATTCAAAATGTTGCTTCTTTGTTCACTGTGGTTGGTGCCCAAGGAAATGAGAAATCGGTTCTGTTGAATCCCGGGTGTGTAATTACATCATTTAAGTGCTTCATCAGTATAGTTTTACACCTCCAAAGTCAGGTTACTTTTTTGCTTAATTTTATCAACAATGAGGAATTAACTATTCTGTAGCAAATTTTTTACTAAAAGGGGGAGGAAGGAATGGTTTCCAAAATATACCACGAGGCCTACTGCTCTCTGTTCAGAGAACCAGAAATAACAGATGAAAGTGAACACCCGCCTCCCATCTGTGATTCTGGTGGCCCAGGGGGAAGCTGATCTCCATTCAACCCAGGGCCCTCAGCAATGACTGAATGAGGAGGTGCAAGGCAGTGCTAGTCTGCAGCGTTGCGCCCCTGCTGGTGACCGTGGGATGAGTGTCTTGATTCCCCTGTGTTACCAGCACTGAAAAAGAGGTGGGAGGCAGGGGAGTAGATCCACAGTTGCCCCCTTGCTCCTTGGTGTCAGTGAGGACAAAAGGTCCCAGTGGGGAGCTGAGTGCCCACCCCCAGTGAGCCCAGCACCTTGACTCAGCCCTGTGCTTCCCTCCCTGAGGCCAGCAGTGCCAGAGCAGGGCACTTGTCTCACACCCCACTTGAAGGGAACCAGCCTGTGACAGACACTTCCCCAGGGTCCCCACAAGGTGTCAGAGCACAGAGCAGTGGAGTCAGGGCTCCACCTTTGTCCGGGTCAGTGGGAGCGGAACACACACCCTCCTGACCTTCTGCTCAGCCCCACGGGGAGGGCGGGCTGATTAAAGGAAGAGAAAACGGGACCCAGGGGATCCTCCTGTGGTCTCCAAATGTCCAGATTCCAGTAAAAATACACCATTATATATTGAAAAAGCAAAGAGAAAAGTCAAAGTTTGAATGAGAAATGAAAAATTAATTGATACTAACACTGACTTGACTCAGATGAGGAGAACTGGGACAGATATTATTTTGGCAATGATCCTAAATGCATGTGAAGAGCAACAGTGAGCATTCTTGGGACAAATGGGAAAAGAGAAAAACTGAATTTAAATAGGAGTCATCAGACAAACCAAATGAACATTATATTGTAGAAATGAAAGGCACAAAATGTGAAATTGAAAAAGGATACATTTGGCAGCGAATCAGGACTATTTCAACTATTTTTTTCTCCTGGCATCTATCTTTCCTTTTTTCCTTCTTTCTTTTGTCTCTCTCTCTGTCCTTCTTTTTCTCTTTTCTTTCCTTCCTTTCTTCCTCCCTCCCTTGCTCCCTTCTTTCTACTCTCTTGCCACCATTACTTTAATAGTTAGTAACACCATGAATGTTCCCCAGAGGACGTCACCCGGGGGCGCTGTGGGTCCTTTCAGAGGTGCAAGGTTGACACCAACTGGAATGGCTCTAATGGAAAGGGCCCTGTGCCCACATTCATGGCCTGAGTTAGGCATGACTGACAGCAGGTGCTTCCCCTCAAGGGACAGACTGAAAGCTCACACACCCACTGCATTCTGCTCTCAGGAAAGCTAAGAACTGTCCTGAGGACCCAGAATTGGATGGTGTTGTGTGATCATATTTGCATAATGCCCCACCAAACACACCCCTCACCCAGGGAGCAGAGGAGGAGATAAAGGGACACCCAGAGAGCAGCCCCAGCCTGAGGCCAGGGGGATTTGGAAAGTGCCCACCATGGCCTGGACTTCTCTCCTCCTGCTCCCCTCCTCACCCTCTGCCCAGGTCTGTGGACGCTTCAGGAGACCAGCCTTTGCAGGGATCCCTCTGCCTTTACTCTTCATTCCTGACATGTGACTGTTTTCATTTCAGGATCCAGGTCTCAGGCTGTGGTGACTCAGGAGCCCTCATTGACTGTGTCCCCAGGAGGGACAGTCACTCTCACCTGTGCCTCCAGCACTGGAGCTGTCACCAGCAGTCACTATCCAGACTGGATCCAGCAGAAGTCTGACCAAGTCCCAGTGACACTGATTTATGATACAAACAGTAAACACTCCTGGACTCCTGCCCGGTTCTCAGGCTCCATTGTCGGGGCAAAGCTGCCCCTGACCCTGTCGGGGGGCCAGCCGAGGATGAGGCCCAGTACTACTGTGCTCTGTGGTACAGCAACCATTACCACAATGACACAGGCAGGGGGGAAGTGAGACAAAAACCCAGGGGCTCAGTGCACCCCTCTGCTCCTCCCATCCCCCACCTCCTGCTCACAGAGGCTGTTCTAGCCAGTGTGGGATCAGAAGATTTGTTCTCCACGGCCCCAGGGGTACATTCAGATGGACATTTCTAAGCTGTGACATGATTTAACCCACCTTTTTAAGACAACAAATTCCTCTTTAAAACAGGAGTGAATGTCATCAACAATTTCACAGGTAATGGACAGGATAGCAAAGGAAAAGTTACTCCCATGAGGACACATGTGCACACAGACAATCAGGTATGAAGGTGTGCTGGCCGGCATTTAACAACCGAGACACACCCCATAATCTGGTGTGAAGAAGCAGAGGAGGCAGAGACAGTGGGAAATGGAGCTGGAGCTGCCATCCCAGAGGAGTGTCCTTGCCCGTCTTCCTTCTCCAGCCTCTGTGGTGCTAGAGGGCAGGAATGCCTAGACTCTGTTCTGGGTCAAAGCAGCTGCCTGTTCCAGACAACTGTTTGCACAGCTATGGGGAGAGCAGACAGACCAACCACAGGGCTCACCATTCAAGACGTTCTTTAGAACTGGCTCCACTGTGTTTATTTAAAGAACAACTTCACTTATTTTCACTGTAGAAATTTCTTTGTAGGCTCATTAAAATACTTCCACAGAAACATGTTCCTTCTATTCATGTAATTTTTCTCTCCCCATATGGGGTGAAGGCAGTTTTGGGGTAAAGGCAGTGGTTTACCTGCCTTCATCCCGTAATTGGACACATTGTGGCTTTATGCATGAAACTATTTCCCAGGCCTACAATTATCCTTTATCCCAAATAAACGCTTGTAGTGTCTCACATTGGCTTTTAATTTGAGGGGAACATTAGTGATATTATACAGCTATTATATATGAAGAGAAATGCTTGAGTGAAACATAATATAATAAAAAGTAGCCCACATCTTGAGAAGGACATGGGTTTGGAGCACATGGGCATATGGAACTGATTTCTGATACTTGTTACCAGGTAGAAATCTGGAGCAGGTGCTAAGCAAAGAGGCAGGACATCCAGAATGGAAGGTGGAAGAAGAGAACAGTGAGCATCCTTATAGCTTAAGACCAGCTCTACCAGCTGAGCCTGTGGTTCTTCTCAAGCACGGCATCTTGCAATCCCACCTCCCTCAGGAAAACAGGCCAATCAGATTCCTAGAACACATCCCCCTGGGACTTACATCAGAAGGTACAGGGTCCAACCAGAACCAGCGGTGACACCAGCAGATGCAGGGGTGCCCTGCTGTGAGCTCTTTCAGCAGTGGTCCTGCCTTGCTGGACGGCAGAGAGTTATCCCCCAGTAGGTCTAAGTTGACACTGCTTCTGGATGTGCAGTAGGGTGAAGGGTTGCTCGTGTCTCCTGTAAGGACAGTGCTAGAACCTGGGGGTTGGGAGGGTCGGACAAGTATTTATCCCAAAATGGTCCAGAGGTAAGTTTCAGTTTAGCCTCCAGGGTCCACGTGTGCTCGTTCACAGGCTACAGAGGGGAGATGGGAGGGAGGAGATGGGCCCCTGTGCTGACTTGACCCAAATACCTTGAATGAGGCACTAAAGATTTCTGCTTAATTATTATAGAGAGGCAGTATGTATGAGAGATTTATTTTCAGAGAGAGGGCCTCACCAGATGTGTATATGTGTAACATAACTTGATAACTATGCAAAGAATACAACAACAAGTGAGGACCAATTCTAGCAGACACGGGAACCTGAGTGGTCCTGGAGAAAGTGTGAGGGAGAAAGAACCCGTAACCACCAGGAGTGGGACAGGGAGGTGTGGGACTGGGGAACATACTGTGTGCAAAGCATTGAGAATGACAGTGTCTTAGGGGTTTGAGAGGCATGTGTATCTCAGCAGTCAGGAATGAGGCATAGGCAGGGCCTTCATCCTGGAATTAGGGACTGTGCTCTGACTTTACACAGTCATTAAAAATCACGGTATTCAGGAGTCCCACCACAGTCATGGGGCACATTCAGTGATGAGCCGCATGGGACCAGCTGGGCTCCACAGCCTTTCTAGGAACATAGAGATGTGTGTCCTGTAAACACCAGGGGGCGCTGTGGGACTTTGCTGTGTGGAGCTGATCAAGAGGACTGTTCACCATTGGGGCCTGGGTTTGCAGGCTGAGCTCTGTGCTCACTGCTGGAGACTCAGTATCTGTGTCCTCTGTGGCCTGGCAGAGTCCCCTGAAGGAACCTTTCTGTGTGGTCTCAGCAGGTGCTTTGTCCCAGGGCTCTCCCATGGGGTGAAGCCAACCTCCACCCCTTCAGTCTTTGGTGTGACCTGAGCTCTGGACCCATAGGAGGACTCAGGAGGGGCTGGGCAGTCCCTGGATGGACACATATTTGCTTGGATGGCCCATTCTGTGGCAGAAGGTGGGGAAACGAAGGCGGAGGCCTGGGGCAGCATAAGAAGTTGGTCTGAGGTTAAGGAATCAAAACTCAGGGTCATAGCAGAGCCGTCCCATTCCTTCCAGGACCTGAGGCACCCTGAGTCCCCGAGACAAGGCACTGCAGGGTGCTCCAAGATGCAGGCCCAGAAGGCCCAGAGCTGTTCTGCCACTTACGCAGGTACCTGAGTTGTTGTCAGAGAAGGGCACGAAAAGAAGAGTGTGCGTAGACTGAGGGCCTGGAGGACATGAAACTCCTATATGGGACATGAATGAACAGACCCCAGTGTTGCTGGGAACTCAGAGCCTGCTCCAGGAAGGT